TAATAGATATTTATTTTATTAGGAGTATAAGTTACACTTTATGTGACTGAGTATGAAAGTTTAAACGCCGAGCGTAGCGAGGCGAGTTAAATTCATACGAGTCACATAAAGTAACTTATACTTCGAATGAAATACTATATTTTATTTTCAAACGTCATTTACATATAATGTAGGAAATGGGTAAAGATGCACTCAATAGGTACCGCAAATAATATCAGCATAACATTGCTTTGTATCCATGACTACAGTATAACTCAAAATGACAATTTCACTAAAGTACTCTTGACAATTTTCGATTTTTGTAAAGCAGTTATCTACGATCTACGGTACCGAGATGGTCCTATATACTTCAAGATACCAAATGGGAAGGAATGTACTGGTCATTTCTTGAGGAGGACTTCTTCAACTGTGTTGGCAGATTGCAGAGGTGATATTACCTGTTTAACACAAACATGGAGGGTGGAAATCTGATGCAGTTGCTGCAGGGTACCTATCGAAGAATCGTTATAGAATAAAGAAGACATTGTCACCAAGATCCTTTTGCATGATACAGTGAAAATTCATAAAGATTTCGGGAAGATTTCAGAACCCAATACAAGCCCAATGTTACAAAATGCCACTTGAAATAATTGCACGTTTAATTTTAACGTCAAGTAGAATTTTCTGCAGAAAAGGTATAGTTTTGTTTGATTTGATAAATAGAAATATAAAGTTCGTGGACGTAAATGCTAAGTGTGTATTTTGTTTTCACTAGAGTGGCGTATAAATGTTATACGCCGCCGGAGTATAACACTTATACGCCGCTCAAAATAGGTGTCAAAAAAGTGACACTTAAACCTTCATAAAACTGTCGCTATAGGTAACTACAGTTAAACGACGTTTGAAAATAAATTAATTATTTAACGCTGCCAAAATTACTCGTTATTACTTCGCTAATAAAATACTGACCTGTATTACCAAAAATGCGCTTTAATCATGCATATGCTGATTTACAACTTGTTTAGTTTTATTAATTGTAAACTTGTAAGAGTTACAAGTTAAGGTAAACAAAATATGAAAAGAAAAAAGAAAAGTTCCATTAGAATATCAATGCAAATTATAAGTACCACATTTTGAACTAAAGCATTGAATAAAAAATTAAGAAGATGCGTAACCTGTTTTATTCAATGACTAAGGGAAGAAACATCTTGACTTCTTGCGCTTCACAAAAGGTCAGACCTCCCAATACTACAACGCAAGTGTCTTGCAAAACTTGGATGACGAAAGATAGAATAAGAATAAGTGAACCTTTCTACACCCACTATGCACATGCACATTCCTTGTGATTCGACGAGAAGTTAGACGACGGCTTCTTTTTCTTGCCTGGATTTCAAAGCTATACGTTTAATTTCTAATTACAAGGATAATCACAAGTTCAAGGTGAAATTGAGATTAACACCGGGGTCACTTGGTCGACAGATGGCATCTTGTGCAATGCGCACTCAAGGGAAA